TAAACTTTGTTTTAATCTTTGTGATGAGAATGTATGATTATTTTCCTTAAAGATCTTTACATGGTATCCAGTCAAAGTTAACCTCCTCCAAAGAAGATCAGCTACTTTCTTACCTGTAGCTCTTGTAAAATTTTGGGAGGGAGTCACATCTGGAATAAAGGAAATACTTTGGAACTATGGTTTCCAGGCTTTTTTGATGATGCATGCCTATCAGTAAAACAATTATGAGCTTGCCCCTATATAAGTAGAGTAAAACCCCACAATAATGTGAAAAGTAGGATCCAGAATTTTCATTTTTGTAAAATGCCACAAATTATGGAGTGAATGGAATGATAGATGGAGCTGTTCTGCAAGCTGGCTGGGAGTTAGGGCTCCAGCTGCACAGTCTAAACCATCCTGGTACTGACTGTGGTTTGGTGCCACTTGCGGCAATGGCTCACTCTAAATTAGGCATTGATGGGGATGATTTGTGCCATGTGGTTGCTTGGGACTTCCAGGACAATGGAAGCAATTCCAGAGATCTCTTGGTTAGTTGGTACCTGTTTTATCCGTGTAATCAGGAGAGATTAGACTGGGAGAGTATTGGAGAAGCAGGGACTCAATCTCAAGACCATGAGGGAGAGTATGGGGTAAGAGACAACCTGTCTGTTTCTTTGCCTGTTGTCACCCTCCTCTTCCTGACCCTCCTTCTCCTTCAAAGAAAATAGAAATTTCAGCTCCCCTCTGTTTGAACATGAAGGCTGGGGACAGGAGCCAATTGACAAATTTTTGTTGTTATGTGGCATGTTATTATAAGGTCTGACAATATATTTCTAAATTACATTCATTAGTTAATAGTTCAGTATATACTATGACAAGGTTTTGAATTCAAGACAGTACATATAAACATTTCAAATTAGCCTTTTTGATCATTTTGAATTTTTTGGAGAGGGGCTGACTTTTTGTCAGGGTAGATGAGATTGTCTTTGTTTTCACTTCATGTGACCAATGAAGAGGTCCTGCTGTGAAGAGAAGTGTGCATTCTTGTATTTTCTTGTTTGCTTGTGGTTATGTTATTATAACTGTCTTGATTCCTGGGTTCTTTGTAGGAATCACATGAAGCCACTTTTTCATTTTGGAAAGGATAATTCTGTTAAAATTAAATAATATGGTTTCAGTCATTTCAATCATATGATTTCAATTATTATGCCAGAATGTAAACTCCAAAACGGAGGGTCTTTCTCTGTGTTGTTCACTGTTTTAACCTCAGCACCTAGAACAGGGACTGACTGCACATAATAGGTACTCAAAATATATTTGTTTTGAAATGAATGCATCAAGTCAGATTTGGAGCCTCCAAAGTTAGGGTTTGTCTCCTTCATCAGGCTGGACCCTTAGGCTTTTAAGATTAAGTTGGTAGTTCTGACCCACTCGGTGGCTCCACAGGAGAAAGACCTGGTGATCTGCTTCTTTAAAGATTACAGTCTAGAAAACCCAATTGGGTAGGTCTACTCTGTCACATAGGGTCACTATGAGTTGAAAACTGATGTGACGGCACCTGATAACAACAGAGTGTTTTGGAGTCCCTGGGTGGTGCAGACAATTAATGCTTGGCTGCTGACCAAAAGGTTGGAAGTTTGAGTCCACCCAATGGTGCCTCAGAAGATAGTCCTGGTGATCTGTTATTGTTGTTAGGTGCTGTTGAGTTGGCTCCGACTCATAGCGACCCTGTGTGCAACTGAACAAAACACTGCCCAGTCCTGCGCCAGCCTCACAATCCTTACTGTACCAAAGCCCATTGTTGTAGCCACTGTGCCAATCCATCTTGTTGAGGGTCTTCCCTTTTAATGCTGAACTTCCACTTTGCCAAGCATGATACACTTCTCCAGGGAATGGTCTCTTCTGACAACATGACCAAAGTAGGTAAGACGTCTGGCCATGCTTGCTTCCAAGGAGCATTCCAGCTACACTTCCTGGAGGACAGATTTGTTCCTTCTTCTGGCAGTCCTTGGTACTTTCAGTATTCTTTGCCAACACCACAACTCAAAAGCATCAACTCTTCTTCAGTCTTCCTTATTCATTGTCCAACTTTCACATGTGTATGAGGCTATTGAAAATGCCATGGCTTGGATTAGGCACACTTTAGTCTTCAAAGGGACGTCTTTGCTCTTTACTTTTAAGGGGTCTTTTGCAGCAGATTTGTCCAGTGCAATAAATCGTCTGATTTCTTAACTGCTGCTTCCATGGGTGTTGACTGTGGAACCAAGTAATATGAAATCTTTGACAACTTTGATCTTTTCTCCATTTATCGTGATGCTGCTTATTGGTCCAATTATGAGGATTTTTGTTTTCTTTACATTGAGGTGTAATCCGGACTGTGGACTGTAGTCTCTGACCTTCATCAGTAAGTGCTTCAAGTCATCTTCACTTTCAGCAAGCAAGGTTGTGTTATCTGCATAGTGCAGGTTGTTAGTGAGTCTTCCTCCAATCCAGATGCTGTGTTCTTCTTTATATAGTACAGCTTCCTGGATTATTTGTTCAGCATACAGATTGAATAAGTATGGTAAAAGGATACAACCGCAGTACACTCCCTTCCTGATTTTAAACCATGCAGTATCCCCTTGTTCTGTTTGAACGACAGCCTCCTGGTCTATATACAGGTTCCTCATGAGTACAATTAAGTGCTCTGGTGATCTGCTTCCTGAAACATCAGCCATTAAAAACCCTGTCGAGTGTGTCAGTTTTACTCTGACACATGTGGAGTGATCTGGATCAAGTGACAGAACCTGGTGGCTCAAGTGGTTCTAGGATTCCCTGAGTGGTGTATTTAAGGTGTACAGTAGGCTGTATTTAAGGGGAATTGCAGTTCACGTGCTTGGCTGCTGACCAAAAGGCCAGACGTGCTATAGAAGAAAGACCTGGTGATCTCCTCTCAATCCGTTTGAACCTGGCAAATCTGGCGGAAGGCTTTCTTTAAAGAGAGTTTTTATCTTGCCATTTGGTGCTTCTTCTAATCGATGATCTGAATATAACCTTTGTTGATTCAGCTGATGGGACAGCCTTGGCAGTGGTCCTTTTTACCCTTACTGAACCCTGTAATCACTTCTATATTTGTTATCAATTGCTGTATAACAAATTAACCCAAATATAATGACTTAGATGATACCTAATGATTTTCTCATAGTTTCTGTTCATGAGTATTCCAGGCACAGTAGCTGCGTCCTCTGCTCAGGGTTTCACAAGACTGAAATCAAGGTGATAGCTGGGCTCTTTTTCTTTCAGGAGTTCACAGTTCTCTTCCGACATGGTTATTGCCAGAATTCAGCTCCTTCTGATTGTGGGATTGAGGGCCCTGTTTTCTTTTTTTAAGAATACATAAATACCTTTTAATAATTTCAACATCATACATGATTTAGTTGTAACTCTTAGCAAATTAGAAATACATAGAAACTTCCATAATCTGAAAGAAGGTGTCTGAAATAACCCAGAGCAGACACCAATTGTATTTATATACTAGCAACAAACAATTAGAAAATAAAAACTTGAAAATGTACAATTTACAAAAGCATAAAAACATAAAATACATCAAAACAAACAAGATGTGTAATACTGCTATGCTGAAAGCTGTAAAATGTTACTGAGAGAAATTAAAGCCGGTCTAACTTAATGGAGGATTAGCCATGCTCATGAATTGGAAGACTCACTACTGTAAAGGGTCAGGTTTTTTCTAAATTGATCTATAGATTTCATGAAATTCTTATCAAAATCCTAGAAAGTATGTGTGTGTTAAGTGATGTAACCCAAGTTTATAATTTTCATGGAAATGCAAAAGGTCAAGTGTAACTAAGACACATTTGAACAAGATGGGAATTCTACCATATATCACACAAGAGAAAATACAGTGTAAGAAGGACTCTTCAGACCATCAACATTTAAGAAATAGGTAAGAGTATATAATTATTCAAAGGAAAATTCATTCATATTGTAGACTTAAAATTTAGGGAGAGGCTAGTCCCAAGCTCAGAAACCTATGTGATTTTCAGGCAAGTACTTATAAAATGCTTTGGATTTAGAGTTTTAAAAAATAAAAGTATCATCTCTAACTAGTTACATGTCACAGGTATTCTTTCTTTCAACATGTATAAAAATAGGGAAGATAATTCTAGAAATAGTGTATCAAACATCTTTGAGATGAAAGTATTACAGTAATAATTACTATTAAGCTCAGTTTCCTTTGAGATAAGACCCACAAAAGTTTTAAACTATCTTGATGTGGAAATTTGGGACATTCAGTGAGGAAATTGTTCAAATGAGTATTTTGGATGATAGGCCAGTAAAATTAAATAATTTTATTTCAGCTAATTCTATGAGAGACATATAGATGAAAATAGTTACGAAGGCCCCATTTTCTTGCTGGCTGTCAGTGGAGACAACTTTTGCTCCTGGAGGCCACTCACAGTTCCTTGACGTGTATCCCTTTCATAGTCCCTCTTATTTCTTCAGGGCCAGCAGGAGAATCTCTAGCTCTAGTCTGCTGAGACAGAGTCTTAAATAACTACATAATCCTGGGAGTAATTGTTTTCATGTTTGCCATGTTCCATTAGCTCTAACCAAGCCAAAGATTCTGCCCCCACTCAAGGGAAAGGGATGATACAAGAGTGTGATTTGTTTTTTGAGGGGGAGGGGAAGCTTCTTAGTGTGAACCTGCATTACCCCCCAAAGCAGGGGCCTAGTGACCTTTGTGCTGTGTGAATAGCTAGGACCCTCCACCCACTACAAAGAATAAGGTCCATTTGTGATCCTTCCTAATTGTTTTATGACAAAATATGTAATTTAGGGTTTTCTGGTATTAGGGATCTTTTCTAGTGAACAAAATTATGATAAAATCTTCCTTAAGATATACCTAAAAGTTTCTAATTCGGTACTATAATTATTATTTATAGTAACAAATACTTCATCATGTAATTGAATGTGATATTAATCCTGCTACTGTGCTTTGTCAAATTACTCTTTCTCTCCAGTGCAGGAATCACAACCATGGACCCCACCCTCCAGGATTTGGTCGACATGGCATCTGTGCACATGAGAACAAAGAACTTGCAAAGGCAAAAGAAATTCTTCCTCTTATAGAGGACTCCAGTAACTGTGACATTGTGAAAGCTACTCAGTAAGTTTTCCAGATGCTTTGTTTATCTTATGTTCTGTTGGATTACAATACTGTATGTGCAGTTTATGACACTCCATGAGCACACCTTCTTCACTTCTTCCTGGTAGTTCATTAACACCAGTGCTGATACTAGTTGGTCACACCAGCATCAGAGCACTTAGAGGAGCTTGCCTTAGTTGTTTATATACCACACTTTCCCCTTAGTTTGTGAGGAGCTTCTTAGCAAAAGCTTGTCTTTTTCTCTCTGTTGTCCAGTGCTTTCACACAATGTCTATATTATACACTGAATCCTATGAGAGCTGAAATCGACAGGACTGTCTTGTTTTTCTGGGTCTCACTAGTTTTCCACCTTTGAGAGGGTGCAGTCTTACCACTTTTCTATTGCTTGTTTTAGGGGAAAATTTTTGAGTTTTCCTTCTCTGACAGGTTTCTGCCTTCCATGAGTTCTGGCTTTCACATGTTTTACAGTATTAGGTGCCCAATAAATGTTTATTGAATGAGTGAGTGATTAGAAATGACACTAAAGTTAACATCTGAATTTGAAACACAAATCTGAGTCTTGTAAAATATACTATAACATAAATACATAGATGGAAAAAGATTAGTTCATGAATTTGTGGATTTTTTTTTTTTTTTTATTAGGATTTGGGTGAAGATTTACAGAGTAAATTCACTTTTCATACAGCAGTTCACATATACTTTGTCTCATGTCA